AATTTCAAAACTACAACTAAAAGACAAAATAAACATCATCTAGAACCACAGGAAAACTGGCTGAATGGAAATTCTGCAACTAGAAGGAAAGAAGAAAGCACACAGAGAATCAGAGGAGCTGCAAAGGGCTGAGGTATGGAGACACGTGTGCAGGTGGCTGAGTTCCTGAATGGCTTTCTCTAGTGGGAAGGAGATAAAAGTGCCCAACTGCACTGAACCTCAGTTCTGGGTGAGACCTTGGGAACCCAGGCTTATACGGGGGGAATCTGGACTGTCAGGTGGAAATCAGGGGAACCAAGAAAGGCAGAGGCCTGGAGGCGCATGCGCAAGTATGCAAAGAGAAGACTGACTGATGAGTGTGCTGCTGGTTTTCTCCAGTGGGTGGAAACAGAAGCTCCCCATATGCTGACCTCCAGTTCTGGGGGAGAATCTGGGAATCCAGATTCATTGGGGGGAGAAACTGAACTGTCTGGCAGCAGGCAAAACTCAAGGGTGGCTTACTCTTAGAGGGTAAGCCCCAAATATGCAAATAGTAATTGCTCAATAAAGATTGTTGAATGAGTGTGACATCTGAGGCTTGGAGACTGCAATGTCTAGTCCAAGGTGACAGAGGGTAAGTCAGGATTTGAATTCAGAATTGTCCTACCCCAGTGCCCCTTACTATTCCCAGATACTAAGACCCAGGAACCTCACAAGGCAGGGCTGACAAAAGCCAAGGCTGTCTGCTCAGCCCTGAGACTCTGCCCCATCCAAGCTGAGCACAGAGGCTTTTGCAATTTTGCAAGTCTTGTCTCATAAGGCTGGCTCCAACACATAAGTTCTTGCAGTGTAGACACAGTTGATCCTCACAGCCAATTGACCTGGAGGTCAATTCCTTCTAGTGACACCAACTACAATCAAGGCTTAACTACAAGGCTGTACACAAGGTCCACAAAGGGGTGCACCAAGAGTGTCCACCTCAGGTAACTGGGAAGGCTGAGCCACTGGGCCATATAGGACACCTAGTACACAAAGCTACCTTACCAACTTAGGCAAGCAACAAAAATGCAGAGACAAAGAAACAGATCACAAATGAAAGAAATGGAGGAAAACAAATGACTGGATATAGAATTCAAAACCACGGTTATAAAGTTTTTCAAGAATTTTCTAGAAAAGGCCAATAAATTTAGTGAGACCATTGAGGATATGAAAAGGGACCAAATATAATTAAACATATACTGACTGAAAAAAAAATATTATACAAAGACCCAACAGCAGACTAGAGGAATGCAAGAATCAAGTCAAAGATTTGAAATACAAAAAGCAAAAACACTGAACCAGAAAAGCAAAAAGAAAGAAAATCTAAAAATTTGAAGATAGTTTAAGAAGCCTCTGGGACAACTTCAAGCATATCAACATCAGAATAATCGGGGTGCCAGAAGAAGAAAGAGAGCAAGACGATGAAAACCTATTTGAAGAAATAATGACAGAAAACTTCCCCCACCTGGTGAAAGAAATAGACTTACAAGTCCAGGAAGCACACAGAACCCCAAACAAAAGGAATCCAAAGAGGACCACATCAAGACACATCATAATTAAAATGCCAAGAGTAAAAGACAAAGAGAGAATGTTAAAAGCAGCAGGAGAAAAACAGTTAGTTACCTACAAGGGAGCACCCATAGGATTGTCAGCTGATTTCTCAACAGAAACTATGCAGGCCAGAAGGGAGTGGCAGGAAATATTCAAAGTGATGAATAGCAAGAGCCTGCAACCAAGATTACTCTACCCAGCAAAGCTATCATTCAGAATTGAAGGCCAGATAAAGAGCTTCACAAATTTAAAAAAAAAAAAAAAGCTAAAGGAGTTCACCACCAAACCAGTATTATATGAAATGCTGAAAGGTATTTTTTAAGAAGAGGAAAAAGAAGAAAAAGGTAAAGATAAAAATTATGAACAACAAATACATATCTATCAACAAGTGAATCTAAAAATCAAGTGAATTAAAAATCTGATGAACACAATAAACTGGTAAATATAATAGAATTAGGGTCATAGAAAGGGAGTTGACTGAAAATTCTCAAGAGGTCAGGAGTGTGAGGGGTGTGGGAAGAGATTGGACAAAAATCGTACACCTATGGATGAGGACAGTGGGGGAGGATAAGGGCAGAATGTGGGGTGGGAACCGGGTGGAGGGAAGCTATAGGGGGGAAAAAGAGGAACAAGTGCAATAATCTGAACAATAAAGATTTATTAAATTAAAAAAAATGAGTACACCTCCAGAAGAAGCTCCCATGTTCCCCTAACAAACAGTCTTGGCATTTTATGGGCTGCTCCCAGCCCTGAGCCACTTGCTGGTGCCTTTAGAAAATGCCAGTCATTAGTTCAGAATCCTACCCAGGGGAGGTGATGGAGGGACAGGAAACCATTTCATTCAATGCTTTTCTGAGAGTCAATCAGTTGGCACTTGTGAAGTGGACATAACTGGACACTGGACAGTGGCTGCTTGTAGCGATCCTATGTTCAGGCTGCCTGTTAGAATCAGGCAGGAAGTTGTTTAAAATTCAGATCCTTAGGCCTACTGAGTTAGACATAAGAATGGGGCCTGAACAATCTGTATTTCCAACACAGGCGACTCTATCTTGGAAAGACTGGCTCTGCACTTGAAAGCTGAGTTATCCTAGGGAAGCAGTTTAGTATTCCTTGGCTTTAGTTTTCCAGAGCTGAAAAAAAGTGGGGCTTGTAATAACTCTTGAAAGGGAGGAGTTGGTTGTGCAGATGAACTGAGGCCCTAAAACTTAATAGACACTTATTAAATGGTACCTATTCTTATTAATGAACATGGCTGAGTTCATTTCAAGTGGTTAATAAGAGCCAAAAAAGAAAATTATAATGCTTTTACCTTGAGAAATGCCCTGCATCTTGAATTCTGTATTAGCACTCTTTCTGGGCCTCCACACAGCTCTTCATTCTTTCAAACTCCAAGCTGCAAACTTCTCCTCTCCCCAAGGTCCTCCCCTAAATAAATCACTAGACAATTCAAAGTTGGAGCCCCCTGGAGCCTTCCTGTGAATGGAGTGAAAAGCAGACACACATTTCTGGGGAATAACCAGCAAATTCCTTGGTTTGCAAAATGAGTAGTTTCATTTATGGAAAATAAATTCATATGATCTTGCAAATGTGTTGCCTGAGGTGAAACTGTACTCTCTAACAGGCTTCTCCCTGGCAAACAGTTCCCTGGGGTTCTGAGAAGCTGAAACAGCCAGGCAGAAAGAGAGGTTGGGCCTAAAGAAAAGTTTCCCTCACCCAGCAGGGATCCAGGTGGGGTTAAGAACAGGATCCAGTTCCTTAATTTTTAGCCAAGACCATCAATTTTTAGCACTTATTTTAGTCGGGCGAATGAAATCCAATCTTTCTGAGCCATCAAATGCAGCCCCATCTGCCCACTGTTTTTTGGTGAGTGCTGTGGAAGGGGTGGGGGTTCTCCATTGAACAGTTGGGTGGTCCACTTTTTTTTTACCCCCTTTCAGTTTACAGCCTGAAAATATTTATGAGTCCTGAATCCAAGTAAACAAAAATTAATTTGTGTATGTCCTGTGCAAAGCACCCTGGAAATAACAAAGTGAACTCACTCCCTACAGGTCCCTTGGTGTCTGCCCCTCTATCTGGCTGGCACTGGCCACGCCCAGAGATGACCCAGATACCTCATCCACCTAACATCCTTTGGATAAGACAAGTGCTCAAGTCACTAGGACACAAACCAGAATAAACTTGGGTATCAAAAGCAAGCACAAAAGAGTAGAAAGTGCAAGCAGGAGGAAGAGCACCTCAGTGAAGCCCCTCAAAACTGCAGGGGTTCTGAGAAAGGCTCAGGTTGCTGAGTGGAGGGGCAGAGGGACAGCACAGAGAGACTGAAGCCAGAGGCATCAGGGCCTCGATGGATGCACTTAGAAGGCCAGCAGCATTGTTTGGCAGGAGCAGCAGGTGCCCAGGGGTCTGGAATGGGACCAGGCTGCACTGGTAAGAGGTGCCAAGTGGCACCTCTTACAGCTGCAGCGGGATGAGCAACAGGTTCCTTGGGGTCAGATGCAGGTGGACCACTGTGGGACTTAATTTATAATACTGCTTCTGGTGCGCCTGCAGGGCAGATATGCTATGGGAGAATACCTGAGGAGAGACTGGGCTGGCTTAGGAAGAGACTTCACGGACACTTCCTTGAAAAACAAACTTTGTAGCTATCTAACAATGGTTGAAGTGTGGGCTTGGGGCCTCCGGGAGTCAGATCTGAATGGTCTGGGTGGGCCCGTGCTCATGAGCAGAGGTGGAACATATGACTGAGGCTTGACAGCTCTCTGGGAGTGACACACAAAACCCTGACAAAAGCAACTTAAAGACCTAACAAAGTTCTACCACAATTCCTATTCCCAAGAGCCAGGGCAGTGGATTAAAGCTTAAATGCAGCCTTCTCTGCTTGAACTACAGATTCCTTCCTTGCCCAGCTCCTCATCTGCATGAGTCCTGCTGAAAACCATTTGGCCTGAGCTACAAACACGTTCAACTTGGCATACAATCCCTAGTTTTTCGAGGCCACAAAGGTCCAAGCACACATTGTCCCCCCAACTGATGTCTTTCCCTCCCTTCCCCCACAAGAATGATTCACCTCCTTCAGGGCTCAGTTCCAAATTGCTCCCCTTGCCAAAACACTTGAATGCTGAGGCGGGAGTGTGGGGCAGGGGTGGGTATGACACTTGAGCTCTCTTCTAGGCCATGTTTCACCTATGGAGTCATTCATCCCACACACATCTCCCAGCGCCCATTCAAGGAAGGGTTCTGGCAGGGAGCCTGTCCCTTCTCCAAACATCCAAAGCCCCCTCACCCCACCCCACCCCCCCACCCCGCCCCACAGGAAGGAACAACTACCAGCTGGCAAGAACCTGTCAAATCCTACCTAGCACATGGTTTCATCGAAGCTGCCCGTTCCCAGGGCAGGACACAGAGGCAGTGACAGAGCTGATGGCACATACCTGATGCCCCAGCTTTCTCTTCCAGACCTGCAAGAGAGAACCCATGCATGGAACGTGGCACTCTGCTCCTGGAGACCACAGGACGCTGGATGTGGGACCTGAAGTATTCAGCTACTTGCCTAGGTTGCTAAATACAAATAAAGGAGGGGAGCAAAAGGAATCAGCCATCAAGCCTAGTCAACAGGGAGCTGAGCTAGACAATAAGCCTGGTTAAGTTTGGAAGTTACAGCTTCAGATACCCCAGGGAATCACAGCACTGCCCAACAAGGGAACTAGCACCAGTCCCTCCCCCATGCAGGGTAGAAGCAGCCTGCCAACCTCCCAGGATGCAACTGCGCCCACCCTTGGGTTACAGGGTAGAGAGAGAGCAAAAGGAGAAATGTCTCCCCTGGGCACATACACAGTAGAGGCCAAGGTGGTGCCCACGAGGGTGGAGCCTAGCTTGGGGGAAAGGATCAGATTGGATAAGAGACACAGAACCTGGAAGGTCTAGTCAATGGATTGGTAACGGGGAAGGGCCCTGCACCAGCTCACGAAGAACTGGGAATTGATTGGTTAGTTTAAAAGGGCCCCTGGTCCTTCCTAAACCCTAGAGAATATAATCCAAACTTAACAAAGAGCTCTCTCCCTCCCACCACCTCTCTCTTGCTCTCGCTCTTGCTATTGCTCTTCTTTATCCTCTCCCCTCTCCCCTCCCCCCTCCTTTCCATCCTCCCTCCCCTCTCCTTCCTTCCCTTCCCCCCCCCCCCCGACCTTCCCTCCTTCCTTCCTCCCTCCCTGTCTAACAGGCACTCACCCATGTGCTCACAAGTTCTCTCTCCATAACAGCCATGCAGGTCTAGCAGCCACTTGGCCTCAAGTATGGGCTCCAACTATGGACTCCAAGTGCGGGCTTGGATACAGCACCAGACAAAGGACAGCAGGAATAGACTAAGCTAGCCGGATGGGGACAGAAACTACACTGGAGTGAGTTTTGGCACAGGGCACAGTCTATAAGGACACCGGCCTTTCTTCTGAGCCTGATGAAGGCTGGACTTCTTTCACAGTGGGACAGAGCTGAACACAAGACAGTCCTTTGTGCTTGCTCCAGCTTCAATAAATCTTACCACCATATCTCATCCTCCTATGAGTGGTCTCCGAAATGCTATTCTCATGGCATCCTCAAGGATCCCATCTCCAACCTCAACACAGCCACCCGGAGTCCAATCCCTTCTCCAGCCTCAGCATACTGTCCCAGGCCTATGTCCCAGGTCCCAGTTGCCCTTCTTTTGACCTGAATCTCTACTCTGAAAGACACCTCCGCCTGGAAGCCTTCGGGCTTGTTTCCCACCCAGTTATCTTAGCTGCAATTGTTTGCCCAGGATCTGAACATCCCAGGAGTTGGGAAGTAATACCAGAGCCAGGGGTTGCAGTTCCAGAACTATGGGCCTAGACTTTAAAAGGAAACAACTGAATGAATGAAGTGGGGGAGAAGGCCCGTGCTGCTGGCCTGCCCCCATTCCCTAGGAGGTATTTGCAGTGTATTTTCCCACTACCAGCTCTATGTTCAAGTACCCAGAAATCAGTCCCACCACTTTATGAAGGAAATAAGCCTGAATTTCAAGAAACTGGATAATTAGATTTTATCATGCATATTAAAACTTTCGCAGAAATTGGGAAATACTTGCCTCTGTGGCCAGCAATGCCTTCCCACTCTGTAAGCCAGAGGAGAGTCACCCACAGTGGGGCTTCCTGGGTCTGAAGGAGCAAGGGGCTATGAGTAAACATATTTAGAATCTCATTCCTGGACATCCCAAATTGGATTTTATTGCCAGGAACTTAAAAAAACAAACAAACAAACAAACACAAAAACCTTAAAGTCAGACAACCTTTCTTTTGGTAAATTGCCTTTTCAGTAATTTTGCAGATTTGCTGCATGGCCCTGTCAGCTCATGGTTAGTTCTCCCATGGAACTAACCTTGCTGGTCTTGGGAAACTATCTTGTGCCCCCTTCCTGTGCCTGTCATTCCAGTGACAACATTATCCAGGCTGTGTAAGTGCCAAGACTAAGGTGACCAGATTTTAACATTAGTAAAGCGGGACACTATTGACTGGAGGGGAGGGGGGGATTTCTTGATTAAAACTGTGGTCTATATGGAGCAACAAAAATTTTCATAGAACACAAAAATAGTATTGTAATATATTTTTTTAAATTTCAACATAAGTTTGAAACACAATTTACAAATATAATAAATAAAAATTATGTATAGTCATAAGTGTCACTTTCAAGGCCGGCGCTAGACGTTTTGCCGCCACTATAAAATATAAATAATACCAGTACTGTCTTCTAAAGTCAAGAAAATTTATGTATTTATGAAATAAATAAATAGATTACTTACCTAAATTATCTGAATAGCTGATTTGTAATGACATCACTTGTTTAACTAGCTTATAGCATGCAGTACGAAGTGTATCGTCTGAGACAGTTACAAAATGTTTTCGTCATTGCCAATCCCAAAAAACACCATTGTTCATTAAGTCCAAACAAGGGTGGTCGAATTCTAACAACTGATCAACAATGCTAACTTTGAAGCAGTTCTCGATAATCAGTTCTCAACAATTATTTGTTATTATTAAAGTTTAACATTATAAAATTAACAAAAATAATATAAAACTCATATCCTGGCTAAACGGCCACATGGCTTCCAAAAACCGTATATTCCCTTCCCATTCTCCTGCCGTTCCCTAGCTTGTCGTGCATTCTTTCCAAAAATTGGGACCTTTTTAAAATGCCGCGGGACGCGGGACAAATTGTTAATAATTGGGACTGTCCTGTCAAAAGCAGGACGTCTGGTCACCGGCACATTTTGAACCGAGATTGGCAAACTACCCACTCTACTCATTTCCTACTACACCATCCTCCTGTCACAACCAGCAAGTAAACAAGACTCCATCTGTCCTGTTAAAAATCAGGATACAGGCTATTTAGGGCAGTAATGAAAGGGGACACACAGGCTCACAGGTGCTGCTAATGTTTGGCTCCTGACTGGGTACTTGTTACTCAGGTACGTATTGTGACTTTAGTCATCCAAATATATTTAGTCTTCACCCTGGTTTTGGCTCAAAGTTCTCAAACCCTTGGAATTTCCTGAGTGTTAAGAGCAAAGGGAGATCTTTTATAATAATATTTGGTCTCTCGCCCTGGCTGGTGTGCTCTGTGGTTAGAGTGTTGGTCCACGTACCTAAGAGCCACAGGTTTGATTCCCAGTCAAGGGCATGTAGCTAGGTTGCAGGTTTGATTCTGGGCCCTGTTCAAGGTACATGTGGTAGGCAATTCGTCAACATGTCTCTCTTACATTAATGTTTCTCTTTCCCTCTCTCTCCAACTCTCTAGCTCTCCATATCCCCCTCTCACTGTCTCTAAAAATAATGGAAAAAATATCCTCAGGTGAGGATTAGCAAAACAAACAAAAATTTTGTCTCTTGTTCTCAGTTCCTGAAAACTCTTCAGTCATAAAACTGTTGTCTTGTCACAGAACAGGCCGTTCCATCACAGCTAGGTTTAAATATTTTGAAAAGCACCTAAGGATGGGTACTGGTTGCCAGGGGAACCAACCTTGAACAGAAAGTTGGAACTTCAGCCCCACACCTTGTTAAGGACGAAGGGAGGAAGTTTGATCAATCACCAATGGCCATGAGTTAACCCAGTGATTTTCAACTTTTTTCATCTCACAGCACACATACTAGTAAACTACTGATATTCTGTGGCACATCAAAAATTATAATTTTGGATTTCTGGGGGAAGATGGCTGCTGATGGGAAGGCAGGCTGCAAGATAGTGTGTGAGTGAGAGAACAAAAGGAGAGAGTGTGGACATGAGGGGAGTGTCTATTTGTGAGTGAGGGACAGCTATATTCCAAGGGACTGTTGGAGACTGCCGGACCAGGCTTCTCTGACCAGGCAGCCTCTACTGCTGCCGAAATATCTCCCGGAGCGGCTGACTCTGCCACAGAGACCATGCCATCTTGAAGGGGAGAGTGGCTGTGATCAGAAGCCCAGCCTTACCTTTAACCAGGAAGAACTCAGATACCTTCCAGGACCTTATAACTACAACACCCAGGGACCAGTTGTGAACCCACGGACACTGGGTCTCAAGCAACAGGAATATGTGGACTCAGACGAGCCCTGCATCTTCTCAAGAAAGATCAGATATCACCTAAAGAGAAAGGTAAGGTCTGTGATGTAGGCTAGAGAAAGAAATGTGTGCATCGGGATCTAGAGTTTAAGAAGTCTGAACCCCACAAAATCCGAGGTTGTTTGGGTCAGTGTAGCCCACAAATGTGGAAAGGGGTCCATAGGAATGCTGGCAGAAGGGAACTCTAGGAATCAACTCATAGCTGGGCTGGGCACAGAAAGGCAGCCTGAAGTTTTATCGGCTGCAATTATATACCGAGTCCACATATTCGTGCTGCTTGAGACCCGGTGTTCGTGGGTTCACAGCTGGTCCCTGGGTGTTGTAGTTATAAGGTCCTGGGAGGTATCCGAGTTCTTCCTGGTTAAAGGTAAGTGCCAGAGGAAAAAGACTTGCACAGAGACATTCGCAGAGTTGAGCACAGTGCCAGGGCAAAAAAGTCGTGAGTTCGCATGGTTACTCTGGCTTTTTTTGTTTTGTTTTTCTTCTTCTCTTTAAATCCTTGTTTTTGATTACTAAGCCCAGTACATAGGCTCTCCCAATTAAAAACACTCTCAGAGACTGAAGGGGAAAGTTGCTTTTGTGGAGCCTGGAAATCAGAGCGGGGAGAAATGTCAGAAAACTAGCTCCCCCAATCCAGTATTAACTGTGGCAGGGAAAACAAAATCTAAATACAGGGTAGAGAAAACCTATAGCCCTTGATGTAAATACAGAAAAACTACCACCCAGGGACTGAATGATTAATTGTCTCTTGTGTAAATACAACTAAAGGCACAATGAGAAACAAAGAAATACCTCCAGCTTGAAAAAAGGATTGTAGCTTAAAAGACAGAGGAGCAGTGGACCGCAGGGAACT